TCTACCACATTTACGAGGATTGGGGGTGCATTTAGATGGCTTTATGTGGTCAGTTGTCAAATGGATTGTAACGATGATTTTGTTTCGCTCGTGTAAACGCAATTCATTGACTAAATTAAAAAAAATGTCAATTAGAAATACCAAAAGTTACGTAACCATACGTAACGTACATTTTAAACATAAAAATCAATTCTATTCCACAATACTATTTGAACTTGCATATCATAAGAAATTCATCATACAGGTTTCGTATTCAGAAATAATTATATCAGGTATCAAAATTATATTACATATAAAATACCTTAATATAATTTTTTTTTCTCAGCAGAAACGTTTCTTTTCATTAATTTTGGAATTTAGCCGACCTCCAACCTTTGAAACTTTCCTGTGTGTAAAAATTCGAGTGTGTGAAAGTATGCAAATACATGAAAATTCGTGCGAGATTCAATTAATCACGTCAGTCACGTACATTTCGAATGACCACTTTTCATGTAAAAAATATTTTTTTTAATTGTGTTAAGCAAAACGTCTTTCCAGTTTACAGGGTACAAGGGGTTGCTTACTCAGTGTCGTCTCATATTTTCTACTTAATATATATTCTTAATGGAATAATATAGTGTAACGTACATTTCTTTCTTATCTCTACGATTGAAAATGTCTTTCATTCCGTAAAGATATTTATAAAAGTTGCTCAAATTGTTCAATTTCATGTTACATTATCTAAGTATGAGTAAATAATCCTTTGAAATTTCAAATTTAGCCCATCAATAAATAAAGGAGAAAAAAAACCTATCAGGTGTATAATCGTTGTGTTTGCTTGCAATGTGGTTGAACTAGAATTAAGCGACAGGGACATTGCACAATAAAAATGATTTATTATCACAAGAAAATGTATTTATTGTTATAAAAAGAAATATATACGATTCAAGGTTTAACTTATGAGAAAGGTTTTACTTAAGAATCAAAACTGAATCTTACACAGAGGGGATTCAGCATATTGTAAAGCTCAATATGTAAATTGTATTTTAGAAGAACTTGGATTTAATTCTACAAGTGGTAATCCAACTTATACTCATAGTTCCCTTTCAAAAGAAAAAAAACTTCAAAATCATTCATCAGTTTTTAATATGTTTAATATCCCAAAGAACCAAAATGATTTTGAGCTACCTTATTTATGTATTGGATTCCAAAAGTTGTTGAAACAAAGATACATCGCACATTCCAGTTAATGTTCAACGAAGTCTCTTTCGTTACTCATCACTAAGATATTGACAATAGTGAAGGAAAAACGTCAAGAGTACTGTAGATCACTTGATTTTCGCGACACCTCATTTTCGCGAGATAGTCATTGACTCTTGATTAGCGAGACAAAATTTTCAAGAATTTTAGTTATTGCTCTATATAAACTTAAGAAATGTAATTATACGCGAGAATTAAATTTTCGCGAACACACTGTTTCGCGTAATTACGCAAAAATAAAGTTATTGGGAATAAAAAGTGATTTACAGTACTGTGCAACAATATATTCAAGAAGTGGTGTGAATCATATGAGAATACTCAAAAATTCCAAAGAACTTTTGGAGAAATTGAAATAATGAGATTTCACTAAAATCAACAACTTAAGGATATCCGATCCTCAGCCAGGAAGGATAACTCCAAAAATTAATATTTAATTTGAAATGAATCAAAATGAAGCTTGAAAATGAAATATTTTCATGCAACAATTTTCATTCTATTCAACTTTATAAGATTCAAAGTTTTTGGAAGTCTTAGAAAAGGTCTTATAAAAGTTGACATTTGTACCGTATAAAAGGAAAAAAAAATCATACAGTTTTAGAGGAATAAGATTTTCTTGAATCCAGACTTAGATACCGTTGTTTATCACAATGATATTAAATAAGAAGTGATTTGTGGTGTCTTGCAATGATAGCAAAAGCCTTTTACGCCAAGTAATATAGAATATATGACGGAAATAGAAGATAAAAAATACCGAATAAGTATGAAAATCATAACAATTTTTCTTAATGCCTGGATTCCTATAATTTTTTAACCTAAAATATACTTTTTGATCAATTTGCAATTTGAAATGGCATTGCTGATATTCGATTTCGCTTTTTCTGCAAAAATATTGAGATTTGACAATTTTTCCTATATAATATGATTAACTTTAATCATTAACTTTAAAGAAATACTGTGGATAAATTAACATACTTTTGTGGATTCAGAGATACTTTTAATGAGTATTTTTGATTACTTAACTGCTAATTTTATATTTATGAGGATCGGACTACCTTAAAATCTGACGACTTTTTTATTTTATACACAACCATTTCCCATGATAAAGTCAAGGCTTTTATATCATTAACAGCTGCTTTTTCATTAAATATAGAACTCGTTTATTTATTTACATGGTCATTGATCATTCTGATTACACAACCGTACTCTGAAGTTGACATCAAAAGTTGATATCTAGTGGTTTTTTGTAGACCAGGTCTGTCAACAATATACATAACAGAATTCCTATGGGTACAAATTGGCAATATTACAGATGTACATATTTATTCATAAATTACTGCCAAAATTTACACTCATTATTTTCAAATCTGAGATTTAAAGCTTCGGAATCTCAATAAAATTCTTAAATAAATTCTGAGTAAAGTTACATAAAAAATCGTGGGAACTGAGACCCCGTTACGGTCTTTATTTTGAGAGTATCTAAATTCAAGGTTTTAAAACAACTATCTATAAAATACAGCTCTTTGCAGTTTTAAGCTCACATGGTTTTTCGCACAATTCAACAATTGACAACAAAATGTATTCCAAAAGTGAATTTCTACAGAACGATATCTAATTTTATTTCATTAAATAAAAACATAAATCACACATAAAAATTGGTAAAACTTTGATATACACTTGGCTGAAAACATATATTAATTTTCAGTATTTAAATGTTTTTTTTTCTAATTGCAGCCGCCCTTTTATCTGTTCTTTTGAAAGCAGTAACTTTTTCAGAAACCTAGATATGGGCATAGTACAGCTATTGTAACTTCTTTTTAGTACGTTCTGACTCTCATCTTTTCGACTAATTACATTTGTTCAAAAGCTTCCATTTTCAGAGTTACTATATAGCACCATGCGAGATCATTACCACTACACAAATTTATAATTTCAAACCAGAAAAATTCAAGAATTGTCTTTCAATAGTAGCAATTTACTATTTACTCAGTTCTATTTCATTATCATATCTTTTAGTATGGATTCTTTATCCACCTTTGTCCCTTTTTGGCGCTACATTTCGACAAAACCAAGACACGTAAGGTAACTGAGAAAAATACATTTACTTAGAAAAATACTCAAATTTTAAAAGTTATTTGTGACTTTAATTTCACCTAAAAAGCATGAAAAAAGTTCGATCAATTCAATTAGTAGATACCTATAATAGAATAAAATAGCTGATGCATCGTGCCATTTATTGATATTTACATTTGCTGGTGTCTTTCCTTATATAACAATGCTAATAAAATTGAAATTTAATTTTCAATGACATGCAGTTGGTCACATGATCAGACTTTCTTGAGTATGAAAAGCAAACTGCACGAGCCATTTGAAAAGTTCCGATTGTAACGTCACATGACGTCGTAGATACGTTATGGTGCATTTCCAAAGCCAAGTTTAAATAATGACTATATTTCTTTGTAACACGACTAAAAATGTCAAATGTAAATATAAGAAATAAAATATCATTTTTAGAGTTTCATTGGGTATGACATGAAGTCGGTACGTAATCAAATCTACTTAACGCCCTTCGGGCGTTATAGAATTTGATCACGTGACCGACTTCATGTCATACCCCAATGTAACTCAAAACATGATATTTTATTTCTTAAATAAAATCCCCTTAAAAGCATTCATTTGGAAAACTTAGATAATTTTAAAGGACATTTATTTTTTCGTGTTATATGCAATACAACTATAGTCTTAATCGTACTAAGGTTCGATAATGTTAATTTTCATAACAAGAAGAATGGAGGATATGGAAATAACGAACAGTATTCAATCTCAACGTCCATTAAACAAATATACAAAATAAGAGCAGAGCAAACACGGACCTCCGAAACATCAGAGGTGGGATCAGGTGCCATGGAGGAGTGAGCTTCCCCTGCCGACCGGTCACACCCGCCGTGTGCTCGTTGTCATAATTAGGAAATAACGGAAAAAATCCGTGGTCAATTCAGTGTATAAATAATGGACTAACAATTGGTATGAAAAACGTCAGTCAGCATTTCATTCAATGATAAATTGTATTTGCTGACAAGGTCATTGTATCGACCATAGAATTTACGAAATGATGACTTTAAACGAGACTGTTGATATTCTTGTTTCATCAACTTGCTTGTCAATAATGCGACCTCATTTTCTTAAAAAAATCTGTGTGAGCTTTAAAATGCGCGAAGCTGTATACGTACCATTTATAATTTTTTTGGTGTTTTCATTTTTCGAGACAATTAGAAACTGATTCAAAATTATAAGGTCATTAAAATTTTGAATATTTTTCGTGCTTTACAAATACACAGACGGAGATATGCAACATTCTAATGCAATTGTTTTGTAAAACACTCTTTGATTGGCTAATGCACTGATGTTTGAAGCAGTAAAACGAGCATTAAGTACAGGTCCACGTAAAAATCAGGCAAAATCAAATTTTTGTGATAAGTCAAGGTTCGAGAAATCACTTCATATATCATGTAAGAAATAGACAGGACATGTATATGACAAATACTTGTCGGTTTGGAAATATTCCGCCTTGTTTAGATTTTACAGGTCAATAATTGAAAAAATTGCATGTAGACTGTTAGTGCAAATCTATACAAAGTGATGCATCTTTAGGGCTTTGATTTAAAAAACAGCAAACCTTTTTGGTTAAAATGCTATTATATATTAATCAAGCACTTTCTGTACTATTAAATCCAGTTCTAAAAAGTTTGGAAAATTTTGACCGCAGCTTTGTTTTCCCCGATAAAACCGAGCAACATTGGCGAAATCGGGTTATCGTTCTTGGATATGTGACATGTTTGTCGCTAGATGGCGTGATGTTACCAGGCACGCTAATGCGCGAAATATGGAAGACGAGGACGGGTTAAAATGTAGTGTGGGACATTACGCAGGAAGTTCCTGCGGATTATACAAACCGTATCCAAAAGAAACAGATTTAAAAATTTTGGGCGATTGTCAAAGAGACATATCTTTACACCTACACGCCATTAAGTTAAGTGGAGGCCACCAGACAGCAGTGACAGCAGCAGCCGACAGCGAGGGGTCTCTGATTGCCCTGCGCATTGGTTTATTTCGGTAAATAATTATATAAACTCTCTTTAATTTGTAATTATATTTGATGCAGTGACAATTAATATGATTCAAATGACATCAGTATTTGTATTCATTTTGGTTCGCTTTTTGTCGTCGGGTCGATATTGATTTGACAGAAATCAGCTGTTAACTCTCGGCCTGCCTAATGAAGACCAAGGCCTACGGGTAATTGAAGACTTGTACTGATGACCTACAGCAAAACTTATGTGATATTCTGATTAAGCATGTCCTAAATAAACTCTAGCTAGTCCGACTAAGTTTGACTCTTACGGTCCCCGTAAAATCACAATATCACAAATAGAGATTTATTTGAAATATCTGCTCAGTCTTTTTGAAAGAAAATTTACTGTTAATCTTACCCTGATGAAAACGATGTACACAACACTGATCTAACAGTGTATCCATATAATATATACAAAAAAATCCTATACACAAGCATCCATGATTTTCTAGTCGCATATTTTATGTATTAAGTGTCCAGGGTTGAAACTATTGACTAATGACTAGGCCTATTTTAAACTATTTTAAATCACATCATTGTGATAGTTCACCATAGTACTTGTAAGCATGCCAACCAAATGGTGGGGGGGGGACAAAATATACACCCCTCCCAAAAGGGGCATAAAATTCATTCATAACGATTAAGTAGAGAGTTTTTTTTAATAAATATATAAAGATTTGAATAATTTATTATTTCAAGATATGATCCATCCATGACAGTATGTCCATTCCATCGTTATGGCCTTGGGATACACTGGAAACCTCCTCGGAAGTGCACATACCCATCACATGAGGGAGCTCAAAAACCCCAAAAAGCAGTAAATGCAGAAACTAGATGCTGTCATGAGACAGTACCGGTAATACCCGCACTAAGGTGTTTGCCTCTAAAACACGCTCCTACATATTGGCCGGCTTTCCAAGGAAAAAGTCAAAATAATTCTATAATTTACATAGGCGTCGGAACCGGGGGAGGGGGGGGGGGGCTAGGGCCGGTGCTTTTTTTCCAAACATATACTTAGTATAGATATTGAACATTGCTTCATAGGTTTAGCCCCCCCCCCCCCCCCACTTTCCACAGACACATGGCAGTATACATGTAGGTAAAAAATGGGAAAAAGGTAGTGTATAGAAAACAAAATTATGGTACTGAAGTTCGAATTCAACCCCCCCCCCACCCCCCGAAATAGTATTTTCGTGTTTGGGAAATTGATGTTTTCGTTTTCTTTTTTTTTTTTTTTTTTTGCTTGTCAGTTTTTTTTTAGAAGGTATAAAAATTTTTTTTTTACACCTAGCCCCCCCACATTGAATTTGCTTCCGACACCAATGATTTACATGTATTCATCAAACTGAGTATGAAATTCTCAGACCGGCCCTGTGACCTATAATTCAGAACCTCTTATATTTATTTTACATGCTTAATTCATTATATACCAGTTTGAATTCTATTAATGATGTAAACTAGATTTTGATAAATGTTTTGCTCATAATAGGACCTTTTTTAATTTATTAATCCCCCCCCCCCCCCGTCGACACCACAATCACACAGCACATACTGTTTGGAATAGGCTAGATGGAAAAGTTTTGTTAAAACATCGTTTGTTATGAATTAATTCAAAATTTGTTCTTGTACTATACATGTTAACATGTAAATTTCTACATCACATCACGTTGCGTCACCCATTATCATATTTTTAGATTAAACACCATTTGGCACACCTCGGCCGATTCCCACTTCATCTGATAAGGTGACGGAATCGACGAAGGTTTGTCGAATGGAATTAGCACAAATGGCTGCAGTCTGGTGTGCATTGGATTAATTCATTTTGTGTTATAACTGGATTTATATTTCATGAAGTTGACGAGACAAACATGTATGGCAGTCGGTAAGTACAAGTTTAAGTATAGTGGGGAGTAAAATAAACCCAAACGATTAGGTTAAAGTTCAAAAAGGGTCAAAGATCATCGCATGGCACACTAGACGAATTTTATATTGTGAAGTTATCTGCCATTGTCGATGTGACATTCAGTTACTGCCAATACTGGTGCGGATCCAGAATTTTTTTTTCGGGAGTAGGGAGAGGGGTTCACATCTCAGTCAAAAAATTTCCAGCCCAGAATTTCCTGACAAGCAGGAGAAAAAAAACTGAAAACAAATAAACAAAATAAAAACAATGATAGTGTGGTCAATGTTTTCTCAGTTAGGGGGAGGATGTCCAAAGTCATTTTTTATTTGCTTCAGTATATAGTCTTGTTTAAATAACAAAGCAAATTCCAGGGGGGGGGGGGGGGGGGGATGGGGGGATTCCAGTCTCCCTACCCACTCCCTGTCCCTGAAATAACAATCTATTTTGTGATTCCAATTAAATAGTATATATTTTTTTCCATTTGACTAATTATACATATTTTGTTTCTTGTGTTTATATTATGTCTGTCTATTTGTCTGCAGAAATTATAACCTTGCCCATAAGTTTTAAGTGGGATGGGCTACACAAATGGCTTCTACATTTTATAGGTTTATTTCTTGTGACAATTAAGACCTTTTATTTGGGTACCATTAATTTTTACCTGAAATCGCTTGACCTAGGATACACATTTTTACAAGAAAAATACCAAACTTTAAACTTGGCCTAAATTTTGATCAATAGGTGCTAGGGCTTTCATGCTTAACATGTGTATTCATTGTGAACTGTTAACAATTATAAATATGTTTGACCTTGACCCTAGAGTTTGAACCACTTAAAAAAAATTAACCTTGGCAATTAACTTTTGAACAGGAATTACTAGGGATATCTTTATTTCACATGTGCATTCCTTGTGACAAGACTTTCTTCTGATACTAACAATTTGAATCCTTTGACCTTGAACTTTGAGTTTGACATATATTTGAGAAACTTCAACCTTCGCCATAGGCTTCCATACAGGGACATCAGTGTTTCACAAACACATCTGGTCTTCATTATTATTTGGTGGTGTCTCCATATGAGGGAAAAATTCCCAAGAGAGATGTATTCTTAACAAACAAACAAATTACTAAAGAAAATATAAAACATGAATATGTTGGTCATGCATATCTCTGCATGAAAAAAACAGCTTTTCAAATTCTGTAACCATATTCTAACCCTTTCAAAACACTCATTTGAGCTTTTCTGGTTTCCTTAACATGTAACGTCTGTCGTGACGTGTCGTCCATCTGTTTGTCTGAAAACTTTTTACATTTTTAACTTCTCTAGAACCACTGGGCCAATTTTACCCAATTCATATAGAAATATGTATATTTGTATGTCAGACTGTCCATCTGTCTCAATGAATTTAACCTTGGTCATCATGGTCATATCTACTGAATATTAAACTTATGTATTAGTATTTACCTGTGAGAATGGCATGGTTTTTTATGCGCCCGGATCGATAGATCCGAGGCAAATATTGTTTTTGTCCTGTCTGTTTGTCTTTTTATCTGTTTGTCTGTCTGTCTGTTGTCAACTTTAACCTTGGCCATAACTTTTGAACAATAAGAGATAGAGACTTCATATTTGGTATGCATCTTCCAGTAATAAAGTCCTTTCAAATGACATCAAGGTCAATGACCTTGTGACCTTGACTGTGACCTATATGCTAAAAATAGCTTTTTCCACTGTTTGTCATAACTTTTTGACCATAGGAGATAGGGACTTCATATTTGGTATGCATACTCCACTAATAGAATCCTTTCAAACAACATCAAGGTCAATGATCTTGCAACCTTGACTGTGACCTATATGCTAAAAATAGCTTTTTACACTTTTTGCCATAACTTTTTAACCATAGGAGATAGGAACTTCATATTTGGTATGCATACGATATCGATAAAGTCCTTTCAAACGACGGCAAGGCCAATGATCTTGTGATCTTGACTTTGACCTATATGCTAAAAATAGCTCTTTACACTTTTTGCCATAACTTTTGAACCATAGGAGATAGAGACTTCATATTTGGTATGCATACTCCATTGATTAAGTTCTTTCGAATGACACCATGGTCAATGACCTTGTGACCTTGACTGTGATCAATATGCTAAAAATAGATTTTTTGAACTTTGTTGCTGCCGGGCGCATAGTGTTTCACAAACAAATCTTGTTTTTTTTTACCTGTGACCTAGAAGTTTGATCTACTTGCAAAAAAATTAAATTGTTATAAATTCATCATTTTGAAGGAGAAAAGTTAGGGCATTCATATCATAATGCATGTATATTATTACCTGTGATAAGACCTTTCCAAATAAATCATGATTTTTACTCTGTGACCTTGAAGAGGTCAAGCCTCTACTTTTCAAAAATGTTGCATTTGCTTATAACTTTTGATTGAGATGAGATATGACTCTCACATTTGACATATACATTAATTACTCATAAGAATTCAAGGTGTTTCCCAGCATGTGATGCTTTTTTTTACCCCTTGACGTTGATGTTTTACATAATTTTCAAAATATTTAACTCTCCTACAAGATGATTAGGCTTCTGAGTAACATTAAGGAAGACTTCAGGGAAGACAGGGCTTTTTGCACAAAAAACGTCATTTTTCGACCCATATTTGACCCCCCAGGGCAAAATCTGAATTCCAAAACCTTACTGCACATCTACCTGACACCACCAACCATCTCCCAACAGATGATTAGGCTACTGTGTAAAATGTAGGAGAAGTTCAGGGAAGACGGGGCTTTTTGCATAAAAAATGTCATTTTTTGACCCCCATTTGACCCCCCAGGGCAAAATAAAAATTCCGAAACCTTACTGCACATCTACATGACCCCACCAACCATCTCTCAAAAGATGAATAGGCTGCTGAGTAAAATGTAAGAGAAGTTCAGGGAAAACGGGGCTTTTTGTATAAAAATCGTCATTTTTCCACCCCAATTTGACCCCCCTGGACAAAATCTAAATTCAGAAACCTTACTGCACATCTACATGACACCACCAACCATCTCCCAAAAGATGATTAAGCTACTGTGTAAAATGTAGAAGGAGTTCAGGGAAGACGGGGCTTTTTGCATAAAAAACATCATTTTTCGACCCCCATTTGACCCCCCGGGGCAAAATCAAAATTCCGAATCCTTACTGCACATCTACGTGACAACACCAATCATCCCCCAAAAGATGATAAGGCTGCTGAGTAAAATGTAAGAGGAGTTCAGGGAAGATGAGGCTTTTTGCATAAAAAACGTCATTTTTCGACCCCCATTTGACCCCCTGGGGCAAAATCTAAATTCCAAAACCTTACTGCATATCTACATGACACCACCAACCATCTCCCAAAAGATGATTAGGCTACTGTGTAAAATGTAGAAGGAGTTCAGGGAAGACGGGGCTTTTTGCATAAAAAAACATCATTTTTCTACCTCCATTTGACCCCCTGGGGCAAAATCAAAATTCCGAAACCTTACTGCACATCTACATGACACCACCAATCATCCCCCAAAAGATGATAAGGCTGCTGAGTAAAATGTAAGAGGAGTTCAGGGAAGATGGGGCTTTTTGCATAAAAAACGTCATTTTTCGACCCCTATTTGACCCCCTGGGGCAAAATCAAAATTCCGAAACCTTACTGCACATCTACATGACACCACCAATCATCCCCCAAAAGGTGATTAGGCTGCTGAGTAAAATGTAGAAGGAGTTCAGGGAAGACGGGACTTTTTGCACAAAAAACGTCATTTTTCGACCCCCATTTGACCCCCCGGGGCAAAATCAAAATTCCGAAACCTTACTGCACATCTACATGAACCCACCAACCATCTCCCAAAAGATGATTAAGCTACTGTTTAAAATGTAGGAGGAGTTCAGGGAAGAACAGTGTGACAGACGGACGGACGGACGGACGGACGGACGGACGGACGGACGGACATGAGTAACAACAATATACCCGAACTTTCTTTAGAAAGTGCGGGTATAATGAGCAGAAATATTTTGAAATGTTTAGGAGTGTTACTGGTGATTGGTTCAGGTAACTGCATGTTTATCATTTCAAGATCTGTTTATTTTTTTTTTATTTCACTTGAGGAAAATTAAAATCACGTACTCTCTGGATGAACATTAAATATACGTACATATATTTGATTATATATATTATGTTTATTCACCAATCAAGGGTCCACAGGGGGCATGAACAATTATTACAAAATGATAACATTGATTACCATTCTATATTAAGGATAATGTAACATGACTTGTGATTAAGTTTGACATTGAGAAGTGCATCACCACACTGGATCAAAAGCATAGAAACCATAGAATGATAAAAGAAAACACAATTAAATAAAAATTATAGATATAAGGTAGATTATATGAAATATTGATTTTGAACTATGTTTATCATTTTAATGTACCAATAAAAAATAAGCTGTTGGTAATAAATATGGAATTTATTCATGCAGGAATTTGCAAAGGCTGTCTGAAAAGTTACAGCAAAGATGTCTCCAGTTTAGACAATGAACAGGATTCTCTATCACATGTAAGCATAAAATTTAAAGTACTGGTGTATCATTCTTTTCATAAACACAATACATGTATTCAGTAAGCATTGACAAATGATAACAATTTTGCTTATGTGTCTGTGTGAAACTAAAAGTTGAAGAAAACAATTTTCAATTTGCCAAGAGAAAAAATACCTCCCTAAAATTAGTAAAACGAGAGATAAAATGAGTGCCAAATATATAAGCTGCAGGTCTGTAGTGATATGGTTTTATATATATGTCTTTGACCATAACGCTACAGAGCCCATAATGAAAAAAAAGTGCAATTGACTGCGCAATAATTTTTGCGATTTTTTTTGGAGAATTCCCCCACTTTTCAGCATCGGTCAGTTAATTACCCTTTACTCCCTAATTCTAAGACCATTATTTAACTAATCTGTATATTTTTCCATCTCCCAACCTTTTAAAGTCGTCTCTACAAGTGATAAACTCGCTTGATTAAAATAATTTGTTAGATTACAAAAAATTCACTTAAATGAGTTTATTGCATGTAGAGACAACTATAAATGGTTGGGAGATGGATCAAATGTACATATTGGCTTCAGAATGTGTCTATAGAATTAAGGAGTGAAAGATAGTTGATTGACCAATGCTAGCTAGAAAGTGGAGAAATTCTCCCCAAAAGTGCGCAAAAAATATTGTGCAGTAAATTGCACTTTTTTGGCATTACAGGATCTGTAGTGTTATGGTCAAAGACATATTATATAAAACCATAATGCTACAGATCTGCAGCTACATATAATTATCAGGCGCGGATCCAGGAATTGGAGTTAGAGGGGGCGCCAAAATAAGGCAAGGGTCTGGGGGCCCCCATGAGGCCCCCAGTGGGTCAAGGGCAAAGCCCTGGTGGGGGCACAGCCCCGGGGAAGCTCCTGCATTCTAGAGATTTTGTAGGGTAAAAATGAGGTCTACCAAGTCAGTGGCATAGCATCGTTTTTGAAAGTGTGGGGGGGGGGCAGCCAGAGAATTCTTTTTACTACTGTAAATCACTTTTTATTCGCGAGAACTTTATTTTCGCGTAA